TCCCAAGCAGCGTTAATGTGGCAATCAATGCTCTCAAAGCTGCCAACAAGTCCCCGAGCGTGAAGCGTTTTGTGTTCACCAGCTCAGCTGTTGCTGCAGCCCTACCCAAACCAAACATGAGTGGGATTGTGGTGACTGCTGACAGCTGGAACACCCATTCAGTTGGGATCGCGTGGAGGGAGGCACCGTGTCACCCTCAGCGGGCGTGGCATGTGTACGCAGCTAGCAAAGTTGAAGCAGAAACAGCGGTGTGGAAATTCAACTACGAGAACATACGTCGCCGGTATGATTTGGTAATCAACACAGGTCAGTCAAATTTATTTCAAGATTTTGTGACCTGGCCGGTCGTTAACTTGTTGGTAGTGTTGCCTGCTACGAACTTTGGAAAGACCCTTGATGTGGTCAACCAAGGCCACCCTTCCACATCGTCATTCATCGAGAGCCTTTGGAATGGGACGCACTTGGATCGACTTGCATCTATTCCCCCGCGTAAGTTGCCTGTATTCCTAAACCTCCCTACTCGGTGCACTGACATAGAAGTGAAGAGTACTTTGTGGACGTCCAAGATACTGCCAGGCTCCACGTGGCCGCAGCTGTGCTCCCAAACGTGAGGAACGAACGGATTTTCCCCTGGGCAGAGACATTCAACTTCGATACAATTCTCGGGATTTTGCGAAAACAGTTTCCTGAAAGGACCTTCGTGGATAACTTTCACCACTACGAAGAGACGTCCACCGCATCTGAGCTCCGATCGCGGGCGTCGGATCTACTGAGGCAGCTGGGGAGAGATGGCTTTGTTTCTTTGGAGCAGAGCGTTCTTTTTAACATTGAGGACCAAAACATGGCTTAGCCTCGAGACCTTTCGAGCACAAGAGCAATCCTCGCAAACGTCGAAAGCTGGTTGACATTCTGTTTTCTCCCAGTTTTACTTGAGTTCAACTGGCCAGCTACGAAGCATGCGCAGACTTTATTAAATGTATATACTTGATCTACACATTTCATTGTCCCTGTATAGCTTAAACACAAGGCCCGGCCTGGTACTATTACTTACGCAGATCCTCTATTCCATTAACACCCCATCCTTAAGCCGTTGCTGAACAGCCTAACATTGTTGCGGTAGGTAGGTTAATTTTCATCGGCCGCTTCACTCCTTCGCAAAGACGCCCATGTACTGCGCGCCAAAAACTACAAGGGGGTGTCAAAAGTACCTGAATATCTCACAGTGCCCTGCTAAGCTACAGTACTCCTATACACTATAGTTAGTCATTTGACTTACAGATAGAGAGGAAGAAATTTATAATAAAGAATCTGGTAAAGTTAAGTATATAACACCAAGTTACTTCCATTTTTTTACCTTATAGTTTTGGAGTTATAAAATCTTTCAATAATAGGCTATAGGGGACTTTAGTTTATAGCAGGTTACGGTAGGTTATTAGTGTAAATAGTACTATTATATCTCTAAAGGGCTCAAATATCTTCCTATTCTTTTACTTTTATATCTATAAGTATACAGTGTATAGCTAAGAAAATGTGAAATGAGTACTATCAAGTACTTTTTTTACTTATTCTGAGAATATTAGGTTAGTAGTTGTAATGTGGTGCACTGCAGGGCAGTCGGATACTTTTGACATCCCACTGTATGTTGTTCAGCTCCTGTTTAGAGGAGCTGACTCACTCAGGACTTCAAAACTCTTATGCACTGCTTTTTGCAAGCAAAGTCCTCCAACGATATCTTCGAATGCATATCTCTATGAATTTATCTTATTTGAGGCAGTCCACTGACTACTTTGTTATGTGTTTCGAACTCAGAAGGTAGAACATTCTTTTTTCTACAAGTCGGTAGCACCAGACGCCTGATATCAAGCCATTTACTCAATAAAGATATGAAGATTCACAGCCGCCGAGTTAGCTGTGACCTGACTATTGTTGAATCAACACAACACGGTTGACGTTAATTCGCCCATTGAAACAAAAGAAGTATACAGAAATACAGAAGGTGATTCGATTATAGCAACGCTTCTGTTGAATCATGGGGTTTCAGCAACTTGGTTGAAAATTGAAAAACACTCCACTGCACTAATATTCTCAATGGCTTTTAATATTGACTGCTACTGGTTGTCTTTCTAATTTTCCGTGCAAACAGAAGGGTATCCGGATTCGTCGATAACCCCCTGTCCAAAACAAAAGTGGTAGGTGTTGTTGCTCTTATCAAAAGCGAAACCAACTTTTCCCTTGCCAGCAACGCTTTCCTATTGAGGAAGAAAAAGTGCTGTTAGCATGCAGTACAGCCCAAGGCTCAAAGTCCCGAGACGATGTTTGCAAAGCAGGAAAACGGCAACGCACCAAAAAGAGAGGGATGTCAGAGAGTGTCGAACAGTGGCCAGACGCGACATTGGCGGCATTATCATCCTCCTTGAGCCCCCTAGGACCCACGATGGCGTTCTGATATTCGGTCTCCGAAATAATGGCAGGTCCGTTGTCGGTCTTACATGTCAGACTCTTAGGAAAGCCCACGAAAGTCTGAGCAGAGGCGAAGGCGCCTACAGTCACTAGTAGAACAGTCTTGGCAAGCATGTTGACCGAGTTCGAAGAGATACAGAAATACGAGTGCGAGTGGTGTATGGGAATTACCGAAGGGAAGTCTAGATGCGAGGATATAGAATCCGCTAAAAAAAAAATGTGTTCTTTTCAAGAGAAAATAGCACAATTTAAGTACAAGTTGCTAGGAGCTGTAAGTTAGGATAATAAATATAATTAGTGCAGAGGCAAGGTCATGTGTCATAATATATAAGCTACTATTACTGCCTATGTAACTAATAGTATTATTTTATTATATGACAGTTATAGGCCTAGCTCCTACCTGCTATATGCTATAATAGTATATATATTAATTTAAGTGTAGTAACTAGCTATAGATCTTAGACACTGTAGGTTTTATTCTTATTAGGGTCCCCTAGTTAAAAATCCTACTAAAGTCTATATAGATCTTTACTACCTATAATTAGTGAGATATACCTAACTAGGTTTTCTTTAAAAGTGAATTTAGATCTGACTTTCTAGGTTAAATCTAGTAGGTGTATTATAATATATAAGCTACTATTACTGCCTATGTAACTAACAGTATTGTTTTGTTATGTAACATCATGTATATCTGTGAATCCTGCTTTGCTAGCTTCTTTCATCAATGAGATAGATCATGTTGTTTTACAAGCAATTAGATAGATATACGACAGCCCCTTGTCAACCATAGTGGGCCTACGTGGAGGGTGTAAGTTCGGTTGTAAATTATATACTGGCTTTATTACAGACATGGGAGAGTTAGACGGTGGCACGCTATTAGTTTGCGCGTAATATCTAGGCCAAACAATCACCTATGCCAAATTTGTGGGTTTGATTGCTTAAGTCTGGGCACTCGTTTCGTACACACCCTCATCTTGGGTAGCGTCAAGACAGATCACAGAACGGTACAGAGACTTAGTCCCATAAGAAAAGTGCAATCAGTTTTGGGAGGTCATAAGAAAAGTATCTTATAACCTGTGTATTCGTTGTGTTATAGCGCTAGCTTTTGCAATAAGTCTGAATGATTCGATATTCGAGATTTCGGCGTTGATTTGTGATTGTTTGTCCGAAACCAAGGGGCGTAAGAAATGCCTTGCGGAGCACAGGCTGTATATCACTTAATTACCTGGTTGGTAGAAGTGGAGGTGACTGCTGTTAGGTGGTCTATCCGTTACCGCAATCTCACATTTAGAGTTCACAAGCGGCGTTACGACTCGCGTTAATCTGAAGCCATTGTGGGAATTTGCAGGTTCCCGCACTCCTCTCTTTTATTCCAGTGAGTTGGCAGCCACGAAGCTCGATCAGCTCCGGGTCGTCGCGTCAATCAAAATGGGCATGTTACTACACTCAAGTCGTCTCATCATAGACGAGGAGCCTTTGAGTACGTTGCTTACGGTCTCGAAGACGGAAGATCTGAAGCCGAGTTGCTTCAACTGTTACGCAGGTACCAGACCGGGCTTTCCATGTGGCCAATCGCGCAGTTCAAAAACGTGTTAAGTGCAGCGATCCAGGGCCTTATATACGTACCTGGGGCTGTGATACTGGTTGCAACCCTCGCGCGTGTTTGAAGCCACTCAACTGCAGTGTACATGTAACCATGCCAGGGTACTGAATCAAGATGGGCTGTGTACGGATAGCCTTACTTGTGACCCGAAAAAAAAAGCCCGGAAAACATCAGACTTCTCTTTTACATGTTACATCTAGTGATGTTTCATATTTCGTGCATTTCCTTTGAATAAAGCATTATTGAAACACTATACACACGATAGATCTATGTCGCGGCAAGAGCCTTATGAAGAGTGAAAGTAAGCTTCCAACATGCCAACAATACTGCTGCTACGAGGCCCGGGTTTGTGGCTTTGTGAGGACGAATGCTCTCAAGAAGCCAAGATGAAGATTTGGCTATCCGGGCATGACCGTATTCTTTGGGAGGCGGGGATTAGATGAAGATAAGGCCCAGTGCGGTCGCTCCTGAGCTTTGTGTTATGCTGGTCGACCCTGAGGTATGCTCCGCTTATCAAATATCCCCCGAAAGAGGAGTGTGTAGTGCCTAGTAGGAGCTTTCTGCTTGGATTGCGGCGATTGCAGACGCAAGTGTCAAATGTTGACCTTGTTGACAAACAGGCTTATTAGCGAAACATTTCCTGAACCCTCTGCAACTTGAACCGCCTTAAGTTGACTACCCATAGGGTTGGTTGTTGTTACATCATCATCGGAACAACGGTTCGACGTCGTGACTCAGGCCGCGTACCTCTTCCGTAGGACAATATTTATTTTTCAGGTAAGTTGAGAAACCGAACGCACTCTGTGATATATATTTGATCCGCCATTAGTCTACAAAATACCTGTAACATGACTCAAAGTACGGCTTTAATGAAAGAGAAATGCTTAGCAAGAAATGCCGAGTCATCTAACGCGATTTTCCACGGCATAAAATGGGGCTATTTTGTTTCTGGTTTGACGATCGTGAGCTTGCCATCCTTGTCATAGAATATCGGCTCGAATTTGACACTTCTCAGGTAATCGGTCCCGTTACTCAACGAGGCATCGTGGAAGAAGAGCCACCACTGGCCCTTGTACTCGATAATGGAATGATGTGTCGTCCATCCGACAACCGGCTCCAGGATGCGTCCGGCATACGTAAAAGGGCCAAGCGGGCTTTTGCTAGTGGCATAGACGAGGTAGTGGGTAGTTCCAGTTGAGTAGGAGAAGTAGTAGGTGTCGCCCTTCTTATGCATCCAGGGAGCCTCAAAGAAGCGACGGTCCTCATCGTCAGCCAAGAGAGGCTTTTTGGTCTCTGGATCAAGGATCTGAAGCTCTTGAGGCTCGCCATCGAAGTGGTGCATGTCGCTACTATTGATCTTGGCGACACGCGGGCCAAGAGCGTAGACACCGGTGCCGTTTGGAGACTGATTGCCTGCCCATGAAGCGTCGTATTTGTTGTCCTTCTGGTAGCACTGCAGTTCACCGCCCCATAGACCCCCAAAGAACATGTACCCCTGGCCGTCATCGTCGAAAAAGACCGCGGGGTCGATACTAAAGCTGCCGGGGATAGGCTCTGGGTCCGGCGTAAAGGGACCTTCTGGCTTTTCGGAAACGGCAACCCCGATCTGAAAGAGATCACTCTCTTTATTGCGGGCAGGGAAATAAAGGTAGTACTTGTCGTTCTGGAATGCGACATCAGGGGCCCAAAGCTGCCTGGAGACCCACGGGATGTCCGGGACGCTCAGGGCAACACCGTGATCGGTGGCGGGGTCATAGGGGTTGAGTGACGAGGTGCTGAAGATATGGTAATCAGCCATGTCGTATTTATCGCTGCCGTCATCGGACAGTGAAAAATTGTTTTCGCGATCGTGAGAAGGGTAGACGTAGACTCTGTCGTTGAATACATGAGCCGCGGGGTCCGCCGTAAAGATGGCACTGGTGAGTAGTACAGCCATAGCGAACAAAAAGAACACGGAACCCCAGAAAAACGTGTCGTGCGAAGCAATGAGATCCAGCGGCGGAATAAACAATTGTTCGTTAGCAAGAGTTTGGGGCAAGTTGGTTTTAGCCAAAAGGAACTTGTGAATGCCAACTAGAGCCACTTGAGGATCAGTACATCCCCTTTCCAGCAGAATGCTGCGCCAGTAGAGAGGTATTTATGTTTTCAATGTTGTCGGTGAGGCTTGAATGACTAGATGTGAATTTATCCAGCGAGTTTTACCGGTGGAGTTTATCTTTATTCATGCTTTCCGGCCCTCAGGTCATGTACACGATGTATGCTGGGCGACAGCGCTGCTTCGTCCAACCGATGGAGATTAGCATAAACCTTAATTGTTTTGTAAATTGCAACTCCCCGCCTGGTACCTATCGGCTTCCGTGTGCGGATACCCGTATTCTACCGGCATGCTTTTTCAGTTGCCATAATTTAGCTTAAGGTTCAATGGCAACGGGATATCATCAGGTTTGATTGGTCAGGTTCAGAAAATGAGTGGAAAATAAACTTCCCAACATTTCCAAAAGCCATCACTTTTGGACCCACTGTTGTCTGTCCCACGGTTGTCTGTCCCACAGGACTATGGGAGCGACCGCAGCCCAACTGCAACACAAACGATAACTGACGATTTACCACAGAAGAAAGGTGAGTATGATGAGCTGATTCAGATGAGACAATAGCCTTGACTAGTAACAACCGAATGCTTCCACTGGAATAGCTGGTTGCTATAAAGCGTAGATTCCTGTAGCCTTCTATACTTGTGATAACATGCTTTAACGTACAAACAAATACATTGTATATTCGCAAATGAGAAAGCTTGTTAAAGTGTCTCAGCAGGCATGGGCTGGGAGCGTGTTGCACGTGTATCTGCATATCCAGGGTATCCGGGCTTGCCGCCAATGTTTAACCCGAACCACCCGACTACCGGTACTACCCCTGCCCCGATGCAACTTCTACTATCGTACTGTTGACCTCGGCTCAACGGAGAAGCTAGGGTTCAATGTTTTCGGCCTCGATTTTTCGGGACCTTGATTAACATGAACGGCCTGACCTGCAGGTTGCGGTCACCGTCGTCATAGAAACCATTTATATTTCTTTCCTTCGCCGCGATGGGTTCCAAACCTTGGCCATGCTGCACACTCAACTGATTCAATGCCTTTTGATGACATGGGAGACAACAGGAGCTGAGATGATGGCTACCATGGATTATGGCCAGTGAGGAAATGTAAGATACAACGGTTGGAAAGCTCACGGCCAAGGCAGCGGGCTGAAAATTTCTTGTCGGCGCTGCTTGCTTGTCCGGGAGTTTTCCACTACGATGCATACCTCCAGCGTTCGTATGCAAGGCCGGGCAACAGACGACGGATCCAGCACTTGATGACTGTCCTGTTCTTTGGCTCCATCGTCACGTGAACGGCAGACATGGAACGACGGGGAGAGCGGTTACCTGTCACAAGTCCTGAGGAAGTCATGCTGCACAAAAGTTCTCCGATGCCAGAGCTGCGTCAAACGGGAAACGGCCTCAAAAGACACCGGCTGGATGATCTGAAGACACATCGAGATTGAAGACGCAGGCCAAACTGTCATTTTCATCATTTTCATCACTCAATCGCAGACTGTGGTCTGGCAGCCACTACGGTCACAATCAAAATCAGTACATGCTTGTACACAATGACTGGTGACCCTGTACTTCCAAGAATTGAAACATCTTGTTTTATTATTATGTCTAATATCGTGGTTTCATTGTTTTCGAAAGAGGTTAAGATTCAATCGGCCATCGGCGAACGGAACGCACATCAACTGTTAGCCCACCTATCCACCGTCCTCCGTTCTTCAGGCTTCACACCCTTATCCCACTCTCCAGCTCCTGTTTCGTTATAATTGTCCTTCTTGTGATCTTTCGTTTCTCTCCAGACTCGAAACCGGGGTCACTGTTGTCCTCATCATTGTCCTCACCATATCCCTCATCATCTAAAAAAGCACATCTCCCCCGCAGCACATCGATTCGCCTCCGACTCCAGGTCCACCTTCGCTTCTCAAGCACCAACCCCTTTACCCCAGTACATCTTCTCAGACATGTCATGGGAGCCGTCGGAGCGCCTTTTATTTCTTTCCCTTCGGTGCCCTTCGGGCGGGAGTTTCCTAGCCACCCGACCTGCCAAGCCAACGCGTGACTTTCGTTCTCCTGCTTCGGCCTGGAAGATTTGGGAGGTATATGGTTGTTTGTCAGGTGGCATAACGAGATGAGACTTCAAGATTGGACCAAAGGAATCAAAGACTTGGATGCGTGTGAATTGGGGATGATCAGATGACAGATGGATGGGCCGGGAGGGTGTAGCCAAACGGCTACGGCGAGACCAATCCATACCGGGTCTAAGCTACAAGCTTTCTTCGCCACACCCAAAATGTTATCCATATAATCTCCAAGCCAATTGAAGCCAATGGTGTTCCGTCAGGTTCCCATATTTATCATCTGATCAAGCCACTCACCTTCTCTGCGAGGCCTCAAGAGTTGGCGGGCGATCCGGTTGCACCCAAGTGGGTTGTGACAGCTTCCCGTCGGCGAGTGCAATACTCTGGCCTCCGTCTTAATCGACTTGGAACGACCCGTGCTTGGGGCGCCCTTCAAGTCTCATAAATGGGGCGGCAGAGCTGAAGAACAGCAGTGCTGAATTGGCAATTTCCTCCTTGTCTTGCGCTATTTAGTACATAGGGTCATGCGAACCCACGGCCTAGCCCAACTCACACATACACGTCCGTCACCGTCGGGCATCCCTCTTCTTCTCTCCAGAGAACAGGACTTTTCTGCCAACTGGCAGACAACACAGCATGCGTGCCCGGGTACGAAAAACATGTCTATCACACACCAGGAATCAAACCCCGAAGCCTCCTTTCCGCCCCAGCGCCACCGTCTTCATCGAGTAACCAGATATAAAGTCCCGAGATGTTTCCGGGCCACGTATTTGAATTTGTAGTACGAGTCGGCAAGCACCGAAAAAGTCGACAATGCAGCAGTGAAGTAGTGGATAGCGTTGTTATTACATTCCATCAAAGTCACCACCGAGGTCGTCCTCGTCCAAATCTCCCTCCTGTATCTCCTTAGCCATCTCACGCTCGCGCTCACGGGCCTCCTGGGCGTTCTTCAGTTCGAGACGGTGCTGGTTCATCGGGAAACGCATAGCCTGCACAAGATGATGTTAGACAAGTCTTTGAAATGAAGTTATTTATGTGCGTGCAACTTACCTTGACACTCTCATCATGCAGGGCCAAGCACGCGCGGATTCTGTCGTGAAAAGCTTCGCCAGGTTCCCGCGTAGCATAGACATCGCCGACCTCCTTGCTCTTCATGTAACCATGCTCGCGGTCGAGGGTAGCCTCGATGACTCCGTCACGGATGGCCTTGGCGACGATGTACTCTGCCGACTCTTCACTACCAAGATCGAGACGGATACATATATCACGAAGGGAGATGCGAGAGTATGATAGAGACATCATGCGGATGCCAGTCTTGATGACGTTCTGGCGCAGACGCAGAATAAGACTGTAGGTACCGTCCCGCCGGAAGGTATCGGCGTGATCCGCGATGATGGTCTCGAAGTTTTGGACTTTGCCCACCCGGACGGCCTGAACAAGGAGGAAGTAAGGGTGCAGCGAGAGCTCGAGGGTAGGTTGGCGGAAGGTGGTTCGCTCAGGGATATCACCCATCAGAAGCTCAACGACCAACAGAAGCTTAGTAGCCGTCTGAGAGAAGCCCACTGCGCAGGCGCTGGAGGGCGCCTTTCTTGTCGCAGCTGTAAGGTGCTCGTGTGCCTCGGTGTATCTAAGCTGAATGGCGCGGATGCGTCCGAGGTAGTACAGGAAGCGGGCGACCTGGTTATTCGCGGCGTTCTCGGGGAACTGGGTGTGCGAGACAAGCAAGTCAGCTTGCGCAATATGAGACGTCAGCAGGTAGCTGCGAAGCAGGAGCACAATGACCGAAGCCTGCGTGTCGATGTCCTTGCGGAGGACGGCAGTGCGCAGAGCGGCCAGCAGAGTGGGACGGATGGCGACAACCGGGGACTGGGGAGAGGGAGGCTGCGGGGTGAGGTTCTCGCAAAACATTGAGTAGTAGAAGTAGACCTTGGCAGAGAGGGAGTCTAATGTGCGGCGGTTGAGCGTGTGGATGCGGTCGGTGAGCTGCTTAGAGAAGTCGGCTCCGCGCTGGTACTGCTTCGAGTCGTAGAGGTGGACCTGAATCAAAATGCCAAGGAAGATGTCAATCTCCGGAATGATCTCTTTGGCCTCTTTCTTCGGGGCGCTCTTCGCCTTGGTGGACTCGCTGTCGACCTCCATCTCGTGTCCGCTTGACTTGCCGAGGGGCACATTCTCGCGGCCAATAGCGATCAGAAGCTGCTTGGCAACATTACCAGAGGTAACGGTTGCGGGGAAGGTCTCAACGATGGCCTGGGCAATGATATCGGGGGTCAGGCGCTTGCGGATGGTGGAAATGGAGCGCAAGGCCCGGAGGGAGAATCTGGCGTCGAAGAGGGCAACTGCGCGGTCCAGCAGAGCGAAATTGCTCTTGATGTCTGCAGCAAAAGCAACCGTTAGTATCGAAGCTGTCACTGAAGCAAGAAATGCGTGCCCGACGCGATCACTCATCACGTACCTGCCACAGCCTGCACCACAGGGTCGACCTTGACCTCTGCGTCATCCGCCTTGTCCTCATCGCCCATCGATATGTCGCCATCGGCGTCTGCCGGAACAGCGGGCGCCTTCTTGGAGGGAGGAACGACAACTGTCATCTCCTCGTCACCATCCTTCGCTGCCTTCTTGCCCCTGCTCTTGGCGTCCTTTGACTCGGTGTCCTTGTTGTTGCGGACGCCGTTCTCGAGGGGGTCCTTCCCGCTGCGTGAGGGTGTTTTGCCCGGCATATCTGCTCAACCGGCTAGCGGTGGATATGTGTGAGAAGAGGGTGAGGGTGCTGCTCGGAATGGCAGCGACCGGATTCGATCGTGGAGTTGCGCCTAGACAGCAGGATGCGCGTTGAGTATTTGGTTGAGATGCAGAATCACCGTCACGTTGCTTGGTCGGAGCGAGAAGGGGAGGGAAATGTCAGGTGACACGGGCGTCGAAGGAATCAAGCTGGAGGGAGTTTCGGTGTCGGAGCTTTACCGGGGAGCGGATATCGTTGATGGGAATGGGTAGTTTGCTGTTTTGGCCGTTTGCCTCGTGATGCAGGAAGGTTCGATGGAGAGAGAGCTCAGAGATTGAATACCTGAGGCTCAGGTTGTTGCTCTTAGGTCCTTGGGGCAATTGCTCAGCCTGGGCAAGTACCTCACGCCCACTCCCGCCACGCTAACCAGCACCAGGTCACGGTATCATGATGTGGGTCAGATACGAGTCAGATACCGCCGGATGTGCATGTGAAGCTATGAGGGTGGATGTACCTAGGACGTACCTTCTTTGAGCAAGTGAGATTCCCGGGTGTGCTGGGGGCATGGAGCAAGCCCCCAAATGCTGAGGAGGGACGTGTCCCAGGCGGGAGTGACGTTGTCGATGCTGCCTGCCTGACCTGGCTTGCCGGCTGCGGTGGCCTTTTTTGCGCTGCATTAATCCGTAATTGTGCAGGAATTATGTAATTGCTTGCAATTGCGACCGCCACCCATCAATTATTGAGCTTTTGCTCTTGAGCTATCCAGGTCAGGTTGTCGAATTTCTGTTGATATTTGAAGGCAACTGCTAGTTAATAGGATAGCGTTTCAATCAGTTTCTCTTCTGTAATTCTGGGCTTCATCTATGCTCAATTTTACATGATTTTCTTTTTCTCTTTGCGTAGGACTTGCCGTCTTCGTCGTTACAAGACTTTATACAATCTGAATCCGGAACCAGCGCCAATTGCATGTTTGCCTGTGACGCTCAGCTGAAAGCGGATTGCCGCCCTAGTCTCCCTTGCTTTAACAGTTTGATAGCTTAGCTGGGCGGCTGATCATTAAAGCTTCGTCCGACAACATACGTAGCTACGCCATCGATAACTGAGCATGGGTAAAATTCAGTCGGCTGACGATGGAAGATCGTGCTTATCGTAAGCTGCAACAACGGGCGGCCTCAGTGAGTACGTGATATCAATTTGGGTATAACGTAGACAACCCACGAGCCAAGTTGCCGCGCAGGGTTTGGGCTGCCCTGAAAAGCCTGCTTATAACAACCCTACCAAACGCCGCCATTCTGCTTCCTGATCCGTTCCGTGTGATGCCATTAATTCCGATCCATCTACCGTCATAGGGCAAATCTCATCTCGCTGCCTAGGTGTAAAAGCCTAATCCTTGTGCTGAATAAAGTTAATCTCGACCTGGCCCGCAGCCGACAGGTCCATCTCATGCCCGCCACCCACAGCCGAGTATGGCAACAAAGAGGGACCGGTGGCTTGACTCGGGGCACTGGCCTGATTCTGTGCCTTCCTGGAGGGCGATGCGGCTCTCTTGCGCGATCGAGGCTTGGCTTGTACTCCAATGTTCGACTTTGCCGGGGAAGTATCGATGTCTGCATCCCCGTCCTCTCCCTGATTGAAACGGACGTTCTTTGCAGCGGACGCCTTCGTCTGCGTTCGCTTTTTCTTCGTAGCCAGCTGCGGTTTCTCAGTGGGCTCGTACTACTCGCCCTTACCAGAGGTAACCTTGGCAGCCTGGATGGCGCTCATCTTGGTGATCCAAGCGGTCGACGGCTGAATCTTGCGGACGGTGCGCAGCTCATCGGATGAGTAGCCGGGAACGCGGATATTATAGGTGCGCTCGAGGACAAGTTGGATGTCGCGAATCTCAAGAACTTTGGATCCTCGCTCCTTTGCGTTGCGGCAGGCCGTCTCAAGGACGTTGTCGACGAAGCTGTCGGCCATGGCCAAAACGCTCTGCGAAGCTGTCAGTATTCCCGTAACTGGTGGGGAAATCACTCGGAAACTCACCTCTTCGACCTCAGGGGTCAGCATGTTAACCTCCTGGCCCTCGGCGTTGCCACCACAGACCTGCCGAACAAGTTCGTCCAGCTTCTTCTTGCTCAGAACATGGTCGCCCTCAGCCTCATGGACATAAGCGGGGATCTTGGCCATCGCGGGCTGTCCCATGACGCCTCCGGCAATGCCGCCACCGCCTGTGTAAGTAGGACGGCCGGCGCCGGCGCCGCCAGACATGGCGACTGGTTGAGGGACTGCAGTGGCTTTCTCCGGGAGCTGCTTGGGGATTGGGAGCTTGGATTGCAGCGTCTGGGTCGGCTGGGTAGGATGCGCTTGTTGGTGCGGAACGGCACCGGATCCCATGACGCCTTGGGCATGAGCGCCAGCCGAGCCGGGTGTGCCAGTGGCCTGCTGCTGCTGCTGCTGCTGCTGCTGCTGCTGCTGCTGGACGGGCATGGCCGAGGTCTGCGAGTTCATACGCTGATTGGCGCGCGAGACGGCGGCGGAATGGCTGAGGGCTTGGCCGGGACCGGGAGGAACGGCTGATTGGGGAGTCGCAACACGCTGGGTAGGAGTGCCAGCTGAAGGAAGCCCACCGCCTGCAGAGACGGAGGCTATGGCGGTATTAACAGGGGGAGGGTGATGCTGGCCTTGCGGCATGGTTTGCTGTGGTGCGGAAGCCATGCCAGATTGTGCCTGGGCAGGTTGAGTGGTAGTCGGGGCTTGGGCCGAGGGAGTGGAATTTTGGCCTTGAGCTGCTGCCTGTGCTTGAGCCTGTTGCTGCTGGTGTTGCTGTTGTGCCTGCGCTTGTGCCTGTGCTTGTGCCTGCTGCTGCTGCTGCTGCTGAAGTTGTTGTTGTTGAGCCTGTTGTTGTTGTTGTTGCTGCTGCTGTTGCTGAAGGGGAGTGCCGCGACCAGCAGCTGCGGCGGCCATCTGCTGGTTCTTTGCCGCCTCAATCGCAGCGTTGACTGCGGTCGTGGGGTTCTGCGCGTTCTGCAGAGCGGGAGTGCCTTGTGTGGTCGGGGCTGGACTTGTTTGACCACCACCACCAGGCTGTGTTGACGGAGGCTGCGATGTCGTGAGAGCCGGGCTGTTTTGCTGCTGCTGCTGCTGCTGGTGGTTTTGCAGTTGTTGCGGCTGCGTCTGGGGTGCCTGGTGTTGTTGCTGCTGGGAAGGAGGTCGTGGGGTCGCAGCGGCCGCACTTGCCGCAGCCGACGCCGCCGTTTGCCCCGCTGCCGCAGCAGCTGCAACGGCCGCTCTTGCCTTGTTAATGCCCTCTTGGCTCTTGCGGAAGTTGGTCACAAAGCTGTGCGCCTCATTGTACATCTTCTGGGCATGGTCCCTTCTTATCTGAAGCTGTTTCTGTTCATCTGCACCAAGCACACCCTTTTCCTGCTGGTTCTTGATGTGTGCATCGATCCTCTTCATCTGTGTCCCCTGCTGGTCCATTTGCATTAGGGCGCGTAGGTACTTTGCCTTGAAGTCATTTGACCATCGGAGCGCGCTCTCTTGTCCCTTATCGAGGATCCCCTGCGGCGGGTTGAACGTCATCTGTCGGATGTGCGCGAGGATGTGGTCCGGGAATTGCGTCGTCTGGGGCGCCTGTTGGGGCGTGGCGGAAGTTGGCGCAGGCGCTGGGGCAGGCGCTGAAGTCGGCGCTTGAGCAGGCTCTGCGGTCGTTGAAGGGTTGTTCTCGGTCTTCGGTTCCGACTTGACGGCAATACCTCCGGCATTGCCTTGATTGGCGGCCGCAGTCTGCGGCTGCTGCTGGGTTTGTTGCGCTGGAGCGGATGCCTGCGCTGGCTGGCTCTGTTGCTGCTGGGCAGCTGGTTGGCCTTGCTGCTGCTGCTGCTGCTGCTGCTGCTGCTGCTGCTGAGCCTGCTGTTGGGCCTGCTGCTGTTGCTGGACCTGCATCCTCCTCTGCTGGAGCTTGTTGATCAGCATCTTTGTAAAATCCTGAATCTTTTTCTTGGCGTCCTGATGCTGTGCAGATTCCTCGGGGTGCGTCTCGTAGTGATTCCATAACTGGCGGAGGCCCCTCTCATACTTGGCTTTCTCTTCGTCATTTAGGATCGGAAGGTTTCGCATCATCTCCGGTCGGTACATGGGGGGCTGTCGCGCGCCAGGCACGACTTGGCCGGCCATGGGGTTCGTCTGGGCAGGCTGGCCCTGATTGTTCATCGCAACGGTTCGATCGCGAGCTAGTCACGAGGGTTGGAAGGGGGTCGCGGTAGTTCGAAGCCTCGCCTTTTCGACAGGGTGAGGACTGCAGCGAATGCACACGGCGTTGATTCTTCAAGAAAAATTCTTCGCGAGTGTTGGAACTAAAGAATGATCTGCAGTGCTGGCTTCCAATTTTATGGATGAAAAAAAGAAGGCCGAAGGGTGCGACGAAGATGTCAGATGTGTAGTTGCGACAAGGCACGCGTAGCTGGAAAGTTCCGTGTGGGGTGTGACGGTCATCAGTGATTGGACAAGAACGCGCTCGCCCTTCCGCTCAGGCGTGTCTTCACCAGCAAGGCGGGAGACCCAGTTCATCATTAAACGTTGCTTTCCGCTCAGCCAAGTCAGGCCAACCCTGTTGGGCAGCTCGTGTGAAGTAAGCCAAGAACGAAATGGGGGTTCTGTATCTTCAACGCCCAAAGACCACTCGGTTTCAACAAAGTCCAAATTCCGGTTGGTATCATGGCAATAGGTAAAGCCAGACGTCATCTCGGATGACTCAAGGGGGCACTTTCATAGTACCCAGCGACCAGCTGACCCATGCTCACCGATGAGCCTTCATGGAGCGACATGCCCCGTGGGTTCTCGACGTGAGCAACTTGAGAAGCGACATGCCGCCATTATTTCTTCAACGTCGGCAATCATCTTGATCCCAATACTATATCAAAAATCCATCACCCGTAGTTTGACCGGCAGAATCTTGAGCAACCGGCAAGAAACGTCGTAGCTAGAGTCACGTCCTCCGCTGTGGTCCTGATGCTT